AGCTATTTCAAAGGAAATAGCGGCTCCGGTCTAGAAAACTGAGATTAACGGCAGTGGGGATCCGCTGCGCTGAGCGCGCGACACTCTTTTATCTGCTAAAGTTGGCACTAACTTCGCCGACAAGCAGCGGTCGCTCTGTCGGTATAGTACGTTTGCGGACTATAGGCCACGGAGTTCTCTGTTGCTGTTGTTTAGGAATTCAAAGTAATCTAACTGCTCGGAAGCCATCTATTATCCTAAAGGAAGAGAAAGACGGGTCAACGACCAAAGAGATGGAAGGGTCAATATACCTAACCCGATGATGGGATGAGGTCAGAAGGCTTCAACCTCGCAGGTAGTGGCAGCAGCAATGACGACGACTCTCAATCAGCTGGTACCGTTCCATACTTGTCCCTCTGCACGACTGTTACTCTACTGCGCCGCCTCTCTTAGTACTGACTTCAATGAACCTGTCCCCCTAACAAACAAAACAAACTCCGTGGCTTTAGTCCGCAAGCGAACTATACCGACCGAGCGACCGCCGCTTGTCGGCGAAGTTAGTCCCAACTTTAGAGGATAGAGGGTGTCCCGTGGTCAGCGCAACGAATCCCCACGGCCGTTAATTTCGGTTTTCTAGACCGGAGCCGCTACTTTTCCATTCAAGTGGCCCCTCAAATATCCTCACGAGGTTGAGTGGACCCCGTTCAGACCCACTACTTCTCAGAAAATCTGGTAGCGCCAGAAATCGAACACTGGACCTCTGGATCTGTAGCCAGGAACTCTGACCACTAGACCATAGAGTTCTAAACCTCACGTCCATTTTCCGTTACGCAGGCTGTGTGAAAGAACTGTTCAAGTCCGAGATCTATAGCGACATTTTGTGAAACACTACTTTTTAAGGGCGGGGACGTCGCGCCCCACCCAACTCCGATGTGCTTGAAAAACATCACTGTTCGCGACTGTTTATGTAGCCATCATCCAGATCTGCAGAACGTCTCAATACACACCGAAACTGCGGCCATGCACAGGTGACAAGCGACCCGGTCGACTTTGAAATAAAGGTGCCCCCTATTAACAAATATTGACGCAAGCGTTACCAAAGCGACGAAGTGTTTGACTTACATTCAAGTGGTACCCAGTTCGAAATACGACCAGGGACTGCTATACTGACTGGATACAGACCAATCATTCATCTTACTCTATAGAAAGGCCATGCCATAGCTCAAACGGTTAGTCGCCGGCTTCCCACCGCAGTGGCTCGGGTTCGATCCCGGGTCTGGTCAAGCGGGATTTGTGGTGGACAAAGTGGGCTGGGGCAGATTTTCTCCGGGTACTTAGCAACACATAATAACTGAGTTACTTGTTTCTAAAATATCTGTTTTGACAACGCTGCATCAGAGATGCTGATTACCTTGCAACACATAATAAATTATCCGTAGGACGATTATAAAGTCAGAGGGACCGCGAAAGGAAGCGGTCGTGTTATATTTTACGGCTCTTCCTTCCTTCAGACAGGACACGTTCCTACCTGATGGTGCAAGTTCTGTATTAATGCTTCATTCTAGTCATGTTACCTGCCTCTTAATACACACAATATTCTAACCGTGGAAAGTATCTCAAATTGGTGTCTCGGGAGTACTTGTTCGTCTCCAGGTTCGTTCCTTAACAATCCTGGCTGTTATACTTCACTTAAACTCTACCTTGAGCCAGCTCATAATCTTATTACGATAAGATGTCTATTATCGGATTATGATTCAACACACTTCCCACCCCCCACATAAAATCCTCAATTTTTTAAAATTTTTAGATAATTGTACGTTTGTACTTTATCCTTTATATCTAACACTAAACATGTTACTGGAACTGGAACCAATTTTGAACGAAAATTAATACTGTACATACTTACTTACTCATGGGGCTGAGCCCTTCTGGAGGAGCCGCCAATTCTGCAGCTACTCAAGAATTTCCCAGCATTTTATGGAACCCGAAGGTTCATCACCGTGTTCACAAGAGCCCTCCACTGGTCCCTATCCTGAGCTAGATCTATCCAATTCATACCATCCCATCCTATCTCTCTAAGATCCATTCTAATATTGTCCACCCAAATACGCCTTGGTCTTCCCTGTGGCCTCTTTCCTTCTGGCTTTCCCACCAATATCCTATATGCATTCCTCGTCTCCACCATTCGTGCTACATGACCTGTCCACCTCATCCTCCTTGACTTGATCATTCTAATTAAACTTGGAGAAGAGTACAAGTTATGAAGTTCCTCATTATGCAGTTTTCTCCAACCTCCTGTCACTTCATCACTCTTCTGACCAAATATTCTCCTCAACACCCTGTTCTCAAACACCCTCTGTCTATGTCAGAGACCAAGTTTCACACCCATACAGAACCACAGGCAAAATTATAGTTTTGTATATTCTAATTTTTATGTTTTGGGGCAGCAGACGAGAAGACAATAGGTTCTGGACTGAATGGTATCAAGCATTACTCGAGTTCAACCGCCTCTTAATTTCCTCCTGAATCATGTTTCGATCTGTTATCGTTGTTCCCAAATATCTGAATTGTGCCACATTTTCAAAACATCTGTTTCCTATCTTTATATCATGTTTTGCCCTGCATTTTGGTGACGAGATAGCAACATATACTTAATTTTCTCTGTGTTTACTCCTAGACCAACCCCTTTACTTGCTTCAATTAAAGTTTGTGTGTGTTTCTTTATGGTATCTACATTATCACCCAGTAGATTCACATCATCGGCATAGACCAACAGCTGATGTGTCCCGTTTAATTTCAGTCCCATCTGGTTTCCCTGGACCGTCCTAATTGCATATTCTAAAGCAGTGTTGAAAATGAGTGGCGATAAAGCATCTCCTTGTTCTAGACCATTCTGGATAGAGAAATTATCAGACAAATGTTTACCTATATGGACTTCACTATACGTTTCGTCTAAACACATTTTAATCAACCTAACTAGTTTCATGGGTATCCCAAACTCTATCAGAATATTGTACAATATTTCCCTCTTAACCGAATCATAGGCTTTCTTGAAGTCTATGAATAGCTGATGTACTGTCTCATTGTACTCCCATTTTTTCTCCAATATCTCACGAATGCAAAAGATCTAATCTGTGCATGCGATTCTTTAATTTATCTCATATTTGTAAAAAAAAAAAAAACACGCTGGTTAGAAATGGTTGAAACAAGTCCTGTTTTAAGATAAGAAGACGAATTTGTTTGTATTTACTGTTGCACCACCTAAAATTTGTTGTCAGCGATCACCAAATGTGATCCTTCTGGGGAAATCTCGGAAGACTTTTTAACAAGGAAGAACTGGAACTCATCCAAGAGAAACTCACATGGACAGCACAAGTTTTGTCTCTATCAGTACATCCCAACGTATGTAAGCTTTCGCAGCAATGTAATTTATGACTTCTCACAGCAGCATCTCTGCTGTTCACTGTAAATGAAAACATGAGATTTGTACGTGCAATTGCTGCGCGACAACGACAATCTGACAGGTTGAACATGGCACAAAACTCTTCTTCTTTTTTTCATTTACTTGGTACACTTGCCGCTTCGATAATCATTTATATCAGAAATAAGTGTTCTGTTTCACGGGTATCTGAGGGTTACTGCACATGCCCTTAAAATCCTGAAATAACGTATACCTTACCTAAAATTAATTTTTTTTTTTTTAAATTCGCTTAGTGGGGGGGCGTAGTCCAACTGGGTCCACTCGGCACGGCGGACAATAATTGGCCTATTGTAGCCTGCCCCGGGTGATTATGATGTAGAATTTGGTGGAATGAAGATTGGCAGGGGAAACCGAAGTACTCGGATAAAACCCGCCCCAGCGCCACTTTGTCCACCACAAATCCCACTTGACCAGACCCGGGATCGAACCCGGTATACCTTACATATCTTCTGGGATATAATATCGTTTAACTCTGTAGAAATTCACCAACGTTCCAGAAGTACATATTTCCTCCATCTTCACTGTCGAAGCCAAGTACTCTTCACAGTCACCACTGAGAGAACCTCAAATTCAAGCACATACACCTGTTTCTAAATTTGAATTACTATACTGGATATATATCTAATCATCTCAGCCCGCTTTACTGACAGTGACTTCTGGTTAGTATGACAGGTCTGTGACAATACTTGATTCATTATATGAATATTATGCTGGAAACCTCCCACTGTCCAGTGATTGAGGCCAACTGAGAGGCATCATTTACCTCTTACACCTTATGATGAAAACAGATCCAGCTTCTGAAACATTGTTTACGTCAAATACACTTCACACACTGACCAATGTCCAACATACTATTAGTATTCGTATACGCTGAACACATAACAAAATCAAAGGGCCTCTGGCTATTTCATTTTATTCATCTTGGCTTATTTTTGTGGGAAAGGGATATTTGGATAACATTTGAATTAAAATGCAAAGCCTGGTTTTTGGTTTCAGAAGTTTACGTTTTCTATTAGTCCACTGATATTCTCTTATCGGTTCACTGTCACTTTCCTGGATTCCTTTGAAATGATACCCCCTACAGTACAAAATTATGAAACTGCTGTGACTGTGTAACAGTTCAAATCTATAATAGCTCCGGTACTCTACTTTTACCATGAAAACATAATACTGACATTTCATACATGAAGCGAAAAATTGGGGCGAGTCAGAAATATACACGAGTGTATCACACAGGGAGCAGAACCGGCGTTGAAACGTCATTAGTGAAAAACCACCCGGTTCAGCACCACAACAACATAAACGCCAATTATCATCAAATATTAACCTGCGATCAATAGTGACGTCATGCACCACCGGTAAATTAATAATTAAGGTCTGCCGTGTAGTTAATTATCCTCTGCCCCTACTTGCCCCCTCTAGCTACTTCTTTTCGTTCTTTTTTTGTGACGTCTTCCCCCCACTAAATATTGTAGCAGGATTCGCTGTAAGGACTCCATTAGATGGATACATAATGAATGGGACAGATCTTAAAAGTCACCTTGCTGATGTTAATTGCAGACTGCCAGGTGCGTCCCAGAGGTAGATCCCAGACAGCTCTTCTCGCAAGATGACAGGTGCAACTCCATCCACTTACAGCGGCTTCACATCACTCATTTCTCTTTTTATACAGTTCATACAACTACAGTTTTAACCACAAACAACCATAAAATTTATATTTTATTCTACTTCCATAGCGAGAACTTGGTCGTCGACAACCAGCAAAAATACTGACGATAACGCGGACGCAGGCACTAATCACACTTCAAAATCGATAAATCTAACACTTAATGAATCAAGATTAGCTAACAGATGGTTCTCTCTACAAACACACAAGCACGCGTTCCCTTCGTAACATATGAAGGCCGTATTCTAACTAACAACTGGTTTTTATAGTCTCACCCAGTAATGGCGGCGCGAACTAGGGAGGGGACCGTAGGAGAGTCACGTGACATAGGTTGTGGACGAATCCATTACGGAAGCCGAGGGGAGCTTCCCGGCAGATGACGTGTCAGAGTGTGCAATATTGACTGACGGACGAGGGAAGAAATTCTCGTATTCTGGAGCAAGAAGAACCGCTGCGTGGACATAGGTGGGGCACTGTGGTTCCACCTCCCGCACTCGGTGGCTCCACAGGTAAAGCAACACGCTGTAAGCAGAAAGAATCAGATGATCTTAAAGATCGGCCAAACGAGCACATTAATTTGTTAATCCCGTCATTCGCGCCCTCCCACCACTGGAAGTAAATCCTCCACACAATCCTATAACTGTACAAAGGTATTTTGAATTGTTTCATTTTGGTCNGATCTTAAAGAACCGCCAAACGAGCACATTGATTTGTTAATCCCGTCATTCGCGCCCTCCCACCACTGGAAGTAAATCCTCCACACAATCCTATAACTGTACAAAGGTAGTTTCATGCATGAAGTCATCCAATGGAATAGAGACTTTTTTCTTTCAAAAATTGGCCCAGCTAGTGAAGGTATATTCCGCATTTTATGAAATGAAATTCGAAGTGTCATTACCGTATAAACAGGAGCCTACAACAGGTCCCTATCCTGAGCCAGATGAACCCAGTTCATACTGTCTCAACTTACTTCTTTAAGATCCAGCACAGTATATTTGCTGTATAAGATACTACTGTAATAATTATTAAAATGGTTACATGTTTATGGGAAAAACTGTTACAAGCTACAGAAAAGAATTATTCCTAAACATATTTCTGATTTTCAGCTGTCTTCCAGGTGATCCGCTGTAGAAAACCGACATCTGAAAATTACAAGACTGAGTGATATGATCTACAATGTACAGAATTTAAAATTGTGCCTGAAGAAGAACGGTCACCGCCGAAAGCCCCTGTGTGATGCACATAATGAATGTGTTCTTGGTTGTGTAATTTAATTAAATAAGATGAAGTAAGTAAAGTCTAAGTAAATATCCGTGTCTTTTGGATACCACTTCCAAGCTCTGTCACGCCTCCTGGGCCCTTCAAAGTGAACTTATTGTAAGTCTTCAGGCGGTTTCTAATTAAGTTTACAGGTTTCAGCAGATGCCTCCAGAATACACACACCGCGCATAATGAAAGCGTGGTTCCTTTTTGGATATACTTACTTCGGAGGACCTGTCTTTTCTATAATAACACGATAAATATGCATAGCTGACGACACAAGCACCCAGTCACCCTACATGCTCATGTAAGCTACTAAGTACTAAGTACTAAAAAATATACCTCTGCACGTAAGCACATGAAAGTTAGAACGTGTTAATTACTTTCTTATGTAACATGATTCCGCGAAGTTCGGTAGGTAGGTATCGATGTTTCGGAGGACTCTGCTGCCTCTATCTTCTATCAACATTCCGGAGGAAACGACTGTTTCCATCTTCTACCTTGAAGATGGAGGCAGCTGGTTCCTCCGAAACATGTAAGTAAACTTTTTAATTGCTGATGCCAGAGCCCCTGTTTTTCGGAGCTAGAGTGTTCATATTCACCGAACATCGACATATGACGGATAAATTCGTAAATACCGAACATGAACAAAGTTCATCTAACTGTTAAGGCTTTAGAGAGGCGTACATACATACTCGTACATGCATACACACACACACACACACACACACACATACTCGTACATATAAGTATGTATATATATAGAGAGAGAGAGAGCCGGGATAGCTCAGTCGGTGTAGCTACTGGCTACGGACTGGACGACCAAGGGTTCGGAGTTCGAGGTCAAGAATTTTCCCTTCACGTTGTCCAGACCGGCTCTGGGGCCCACCGAGCCTCCTATCAAATGGATACAGGTGGCTCTTTCCCCGGGGGTAAAGCTGCCGGGGCGTGACCCTCCAACTAGTGCCGAGATCAGTAAAATGTGATCATATATATGCACTCTCTATACGCCTTCATGGCTTAGTACTTATTTAGCTAAGCCCAGGGTCAAATTCACCTTTACCTTTTACACACANTGTCTTTTCCCACGATCAGAGTACTCTCCCATAATATCTACACATGTGACAATGTAAAAGTGCGGGTGTATAATTTCATTAACAACAGTTTGGAAAGCCTGCTTAAATGAAGAATATAAACTGATCTTTCGTTTGAGGGGAGTCGGTTCTGGAAATGGGGATTTAGATCTGGATGTGGAACACAAGAAATATTAATCGAATGTTGACTGGGAATCTTCTTGGCACGTGGCCCCTTCTAAGTTGTAATAAATATATGTTGTATTTTGATTGGGTCCTGTGGGCTATTACATGTGTTAGTTTTTCGTGTTCTGCTACAAGAATGTTGTATAGATCGGACTGAACTCGTTCTGAGTGTGCTTAAATGACGAGTCTCTTTTTCTGTGTACGTTTCTGATTTAATCAATTTATCCGTCAACCACTAATCAGTAATTAGTATGAGTCCCTTTTTGAAACCAGACTTCTGGTTTGCCAATAAACACTGCTCTACTTTCTGGAATGTAAGCTGCAAGCCAGTAGCGCCACCGATTAAGCATTACACTGCGAAGCACATCCGCTCACTCAGTCACTGCCACTTTGATTGTTATCACCTGCACCTTAGATGAGCGTCTGCGAACGGAGATATAACGGATACTTAGCAGTGCTTCTCAACACCGCCATTGCTGTTAATACAGATCGGGAAGAGACGTATTGGTTCAGCACAAGAAGTGATGTTTCGCAGTGCCTCACAAGCTAGCGAAGAAGACACGTTTGCCTCATCTTGATGCCTCTTCTACAATGGTCTCATGGTTTTCCCGACAACTTCTTCTTCTTTTCGACTTTATAATTTCGGATTACTTCCTCTGAATATATCACATGTAAGTATTTTCACAATATTTCTCCTTTAATTTTGGAGGGGATATGTCATATGTAAATACGAAGAACTTGTGAGATTTCACCCAACGTGTGGAACAATTATGAGAACGATAAGAGAGCGAGGCAACAGAGACAACTGAAATGTGATAGCTGCCCCGACAGTGATGTATGGAAGTGAAACGTGGGTGTGACAGAGAGAAGTCTGGAAAGCTTGCACTTAGCTGAAATGAGGCTTCTTAGTTCGGTCAAATGATGCCTTACTTACTCATGGAGCTGAGCCCTTCTGGAGGAGCCGCCAATTCTGCAGCTACTCAAGAATTTTCCCAGCATTTTATGGAACCCGAAGGTTCATTACCGTGTTCACAAGAGCCCTCCACTGGTCCCTATCCTGAGCCAGATCAATCCAATCCATAATATCCCATCCTATCTCTCTAAGATCCATTTTAATATAGTCCACCCACCTACGCCTTTGTCTTCCCAGTGGCTCTTTCCCTCTGGCTTTCCCACTAATATCCTACACGCATTCCTCGTCTCCCCCATTCGTGCTACATGCCCTGTCCACCTCATCCTCCTTGACTTGATCATTCTAATTATACTTGGAGAAGAGTACAAGTTATGAAGCTCCTCATTATGCAGTTTTCTCCAACATCCTGTCGCTTCATCTCTCTTTGGTAGAAATATTCTCCTCACGAAGTCATATCCCAAAAGACAGAAGTCTTCATATACCGCTGAGAGAGCCTCAAGTTCAATAAAATTTGTAATTAAAGCCTATGTAAAATGCAGATTATTTTAGATCCTAAAGGGTTCTGACGATGGTGCATAACACTCAGAATTACTGGGTTTTTGGACTTTGTCCATCCTCCGGTATTCTAAAAACTAGAATCCACAACGTTTAGGAAACTGGATCTGTTTCCGTCTTCAGGTGGAGGGGAAGACACCTACTCAGTTGGGTCCCTTAGAAAGACCTAACCTCAATCATCAGTTTCCGAAACGTTGTGGATTCTAGTTTTTAGAATACCGGACGATGGACAAGTCCGAAACCCCAGTAATTCTGGCAGATTATTTTAGTTAAAACTGAGCCAAATTGAAGTTCACTCTATGTGTATAAGATTTATCTTGGGGAGAATATAGGGTGTTTTGAAAATCAAACAACTAGAAATACTTTTATAACAAATAAACTGAGCCCCTGGTGTACGTGTTAGCTCCGTAAACATCATACACTTCTTCTGAAACTAAATTTTGTGAGAGGATTTTTTTTTACAGACATCCCAGATAATTCAAGTCGGGGTCTTAATCCCGTAATCACCTCCAAAATATAGAGACGTGCTGGAGTTGAGTGGAATTCTTGACCTGAGTAGCGGCACACTGAGTTATGTTACGTGGTAAGAGTGACGTTTCCCAACTTCTTGACCGATCCGCAAACATTTTCACTCACTGATCACCCTTTGATGCTGATTTCATTCAGCTTCGTCGCCCAATCAGCGTGACAATGTCAGAAGCACTTACTGTAGATATCTTCTCCCTGAGGTCAACACATTTTTCGACTGGCTGGTTCACCCGTTTTCCTTGTGGACAGTGAAGAAAGGCTGTGATCCGTAACAAATCATTTGTTGGAGCTCCGTCTTGCGAGTTGACTGTTGACATCCTCTGTTCATTCCCTGCGATAATTTGGAACATATGCAGGCAACCAGAGGCAGTGTTGCTGTATCTTGGTTTCCGATAGCGAAAGCGAGAGTAAGGATGCCTCTTCAAAACGTGTACGTAGGCATCCTTTATCCTAAACACCACGTTTTCCGTATTATCATAACAGTTAATCTTATCTAAATTTGCGTAATTCTTTACTTTAGACTGTTCCGGTCTCATTTGAAACTGAATGTAACGTCATTTGTTTCTCTCGTTTAGTTATTTGAGGGCCGATTACGGCGACCTCGTGGTTTGAGGCACGAAATGTCTTAGCCCGATCAAATACTCGGCGCATGTCCGTCTGCCTGCGTTTATTGCGTGTTTGTGTTGTCCTATACAGGTAACGGCCTTGCGACGGGCTGATCTCCCGTCCAAGAAGTCCTACCAACTATCAATAAGATTCATATTTT